CCGGCCACTGCACTCCAGCCTGGGTGACAGAGTGAGACTCCAACTCAAAAAAAAAAAAAAGAAAGAGATTTAGGCTCAAAGATTGTTACACCCTTAAAGTAACCTAGAAAGAAGCTCATGGGTAGTGAAAGAAATGAACACTTATCAGGGGCATTTTGTTCTCTTAACCAAACAACAGTCCCATAGGGTGGCTACCATTATTGACAAAGTTACTAAGGGGTGGAGCCAGGATCTGAATTCATATCTTTTGGACTTCATAAGTTAATTATATTAATTACAGTAGTTAATGCATAAAGCATTACATTAATGAAACCTATAGCTTACTGTTACAGTGAATGTAACTGGGCAAGAATTCTTGATGTCAAAAGCTTTGGCTGTTTTGAATAGTGGGTTGTCTGGAATGAGCAACATACATGTAAGAAATTAATAAGTGACAGGATGGACAAAGTGCAGTTATGGAGCCAGAGATACCTGTGTTTAAAACTCAGCTCTATCACTTGTTAGCTGTGTGACCCTAAAGAACTCTCTGAACTTCATTTTTTTCATTTGTCAAATGGAGCAAAATATCTTAATCTCGAAAAATTGATGTGAAGATTAAATTATATAAAGTTTATATATATAAAGTTTATATATATAAATTATATAAATAAAGTTCCAGGCACATAATACGTATTAGTTCTCTTCCTCTATAAAATGTTTCTCCAGAAGTAGAGGTGTAATAGGACAGGGGTTGACAAGCATCTCTTATTTAGCAGAGAATAAAGCCAGAAACATGGAGTGGAAGGTACGTAGCAGACCTCACTCTTATAGGTGGCCCTTGCAAACAGCCACAGCTTAAGGATGATCCACTTCAAGAAGACTTCTCTGATGCCTACGGTTTGAGTTAGGGTTCTTCCACGCCCCCAGAGGATTTTTGTTTACCTCTGTCTTTGCATGCAGTACACTGTTGAAACTCTGTCTCTTCACATATCTGCTTTCTTCTCTAAGTAGTAAGTAACCCTCTGCTTATGACAGTATCTGGTGTAAGGTGATGCTCAGTAACCTGCTGAGTAAAGAAAGGAGGAAGGAAGAATGGGCCCACCCCAATGCCAGTGTGTTGGTTATTTTAAAGTGAGATGTATAACATTTCCTTACCTTGACTGCGTAGTTATTCAGTGGATCTTTTGCATATGAAGCAGTATAGTACACTGCATCTCCTGCTTCACAACACGGTTTGTCACTGGTTAGCCTGAAGTCTGACCAGCTGTCCACCCCAAAACGGAGTTGGTCTTTCTGCCCAGCCATGAAGAGGTCTTCACATTTAATAGCCAGTTTTTTCAAGGCATCGGTATGAAGGCTCCGGATTTTACCCACCACTTCCTCCCGACTCTCAAGTCCTCGATAAAGTGCTTGTCTCTGTGGCTTCTGGATGCCCCGGCCCTGTCTGCAAGAGGGCCCGCGTCGGCTAGACAGGGATTCCATGCTGTTGGAAAATCTGTCCTTAATACTGAGAGTGGTTAAGCTGGAGATACTGTTTGCTGCTGAGGGGACAGGTCTCTCCTTGTGCAAAGGTCTCTCCAAGGAGTCACAAGACTCAATGTCCAGACCCTTGAGTTCATAGCTGATGGAAGAGCCAGCGCTGCTGGCATCCCAGTTGGGGTCGATATCATAGGTGGGATTAGCCATGACACAAAGACTGCTTTCCATGGATTTCTGGAGGTCTTTGGAGAGTGGCTCTGTATTGGCTCTTATGATCATCTTCTTTGGCAGTGGGGGTGGTGTGGGTTGGGAAGCAGTAGGTGCTTCTTGGTCTGCTTTCCCCACAAAAGCAATGGCATCATCCAAAGGTCCCTTGGGCTGACGTGGATGCTTGGGAGGTATCATGGCTGCTCTAGATTGCCCTGTATTGTTTTAAAAGAAAGGAAAAGACAAGAGAATAATTAGGTAAAGTTTTCAATCTCATTTTGTAATAAAATTTGAGCAGGAAGGAGTGTGGTAGCCATGAAAATGCAAGAATGAGCCAATGTCTTAATTCAAAATGGAAAATGAAAACAACTGAAGTACAAATACCTACACATTGAAGGTATGAGTTCAAAAGTTGGTAGAAGCAAAAATATGCAAGTCTCAGCATTTCTCTGCTAAAGGAACAGGGCACCAGCTTGGGTGATGGGCTTTGTTTCAAAAGGGAATCCAGATTCTCCAGTCCAGCTCCTAAGAGCAGTGTATTCACCATACCAGAATACTAGGGAATGCTAGACACTTAAGTATATTTGCATTGAGACAGAGAGCACAGCATTGTAGATAAAGAAAATACTTCAGAGCATTATTAAAAACAAAATTTAAACTAGCAATGAGATCACTGGACAGGGGCTCAGAAGATACTCTTCTATTCTTTTTGTTCCAAAGTTACATTGTATTGTATATGGCACTTGTCATAGATATAGCATCTGCTGGCACATGGATACAATTTCATAAGCTGTGTTATTTTATTTTACTACAATTTCATAAGCTGTGCTATTTTACTACAGAGATGGATTCTGACATTGCTTAGACTAGTCTGTGCATAAGATTCCCATGACTGTGGTAAGGGGAACATGTATATGAGCCGTCAACTGCTGCTCTGAACAGTCATTCACAAACTCTTCTATGACTGTTTGGGAAGCATGTATACATATATACGATTTGGGGGAGGATGTACCCTGTGATTTGAGAGATGCTACTTTTGAACATCTTTTTTTTTTGAGTCGGAGTCTCACTCCGTCACCCAGGCTGGAGTGCAGTGGCTCGCTCACGGCTACCCCAGCATCAACCTGCTGGGCTCCGGCAATCTGTCCACCTCAGCCTTCCAAGTAGCTGAAACTACAGGTGCACGCTACTACGCCTGGCTAATTTTTTTTTATTTATTGTAGAGACGAGGTCTTACCAAGTTGCCTGGGCTGGTCTCGAACTTGTGGATTCTGGTAATCCATTTGCCTTAGCCTCCCAAATTGCTGGGATTACAGGCTGAGCCACTGATCCCAGCCTTGAACATCTTTGATAAGCCCTAGTTAGAGAACCACTCACCTCTGCTTAGTCTCTGGCATTTATGCTTAGAAGACAAAGCACATGCGTGTGCTCAATTATACCTTCAGGACTTATGGTACAATAGAGAGAAAACATTACTTTTAAAAAACAGATAGATATACCATGATATTTCCATACAAGCTACTGCAAATTAGGTTATTAAAATGAGGCCTGTACTCACGACTTCATAGTTAGAGTACAATGCTCTGCAATGGGCTGAATTATATCTCCCCAAAAGGCGTGTTGAAACCCTAATCCCTGGTACCTGTGAATGTGACACTGTTTAGGAAAAAGTCTTCGTAGATGTAATCAAAGCAAGGCAAGGCCATTGGGGTAGGCCCTAACCCAGTGTGACCGGCATGCTTGGAAGAAGAAACACCATGTGAAGACAGAGACACACAGGGGGAACACCAGACCATGATGGAGGCGGACGCCGGAGCGACACAGCTGCAGACCAAGGGCTGCCAAGCGTCGAGGGCCATGCTGGGCATGGCAAGGAGGGAGCCCACCTAGTGCCTCAGAGAGAGCACGGCCCTGCTGGCACCTTGATTTCAGACTCCTAACCTCCATAACTGAGAGAGAATGCATTTCTTTTGTTTGAAGTCACTCATTTGCAGTACCCTGTTACAGCAGCCTAGGAAGCTGACACCTGCTCCTACTTGATGATGGTACAGAGTAGAAGGCACTGGATAGTTCCAAGAATGATAATGAATAGAGGTGGTGGTACGTTTTGTTAAAATCATGTCCTTGTAGCAATGCCAGCAGTAAGCACTAAAATAAACTGTGATTGTAATAACAATATGCAGTCATGTTTCGCTTAACTACGGGGATAAGTTCCGAGAAACATGTTGTTAGGCAATCTTGTCACTGTGCAAACATCATGGAGTGTACTTCACAAACCTAGATGGCATAGCTACTACACACCTAAGCTATAGGGTGTAGGCTATTGTTCCTAGGCTATAAACCTGTGCAGCGTGTTACTGTACTGAATACTGTAGGCAACTGTAACACAATGTTAAGTACTATGTATCTAAACATAGAAAAAGTACAGTAAAAATACAGTACAAAAGACAAAAACGGGGCACTTACCATGAAAGGAGCTTGCAGGACTGGACGTAGCTGTGGGTAAGTGAGTGAGTGGGTGAGTGGGTGAATGTGAAGGCCTAGGACATTTCTGTGCACTACTGTAGACGTTATAAACACTGTACACTTGGACTATACTAAACGTATTTAAACAAATTTCCTTTCTTCAATAATAAATTCACCTAATAACTTACTGTAACTCTTTTGCTTTATGTACTTTTTTACTTCTTGTATAACACTTAGCTTAACACACAAACACATTGTACAGCTGTTCAAAAAACATCTTTCCTTGTATCTTTATATTACTATAAGTTTCTATTTTTATAATTTTTTATTTTAAAACTTTTTTGTTAAAAATGAAGACACAAACACACATAGTAGCTTATGCCTATACAGATTCAAGAACATCAGTCTGTCTTCCACCTCCAAATCTTGTCCTACTGGAAGGTGTTCAGGGGCAATAACATGCATGCAGCTGTCATCTCCTATGATAACAAAGCTTTCCTCTAAAACACCTCCTGAAAAACCTGCTTGAGGCTGTTTTACAGTTAAGTAGGGGTACACTCTAAAATAATGTTAAAAGCATAGTATAATAAATGCATAAACAGTAGCATAGTCATTTATTATGAAGTATTATGTACTATACATAACTGTACGTGCTCTACTTTTATACAACTGGCAGGGCAGTAGGTCTACACCAGTACCACCACAAACACATGAGTGATGCATTGTGCTACAATGTCATGATGGCTATGTCACTAGGCGATAGGAATTTTTCAGCTTCTTTATAATCCTATGACATCACTGTTATATATGTAGTCTGTTGCTAACCAAAATATCATTACATGGCATATGACTGTATTCCATTTCCCATGCATACAACTTTCTTCAAGAATATCTAAGGCCTATTATATAGAAATATTATCTATTAAACCTAAGAACCTCCTTTCTCCACTGATGGCATGTAGCAAATTTTTACACAAAATAGAGCTACAGTAAATAAACATTTACATGCATCCACACACACACACACACACACACACACACACACACACACACAGAGTGTGTGAGCATGTGCATGAGAGCAAGAGAGAGAGAGAAAGAACATGAGAATGCTAAGCTCCAAACGGGCAAAGGATTTTATTTTATTCATTTTTGTAATCTCTGTGCCAAGAACAGAATCTGGATATAATAAACACTCAATAAATATTTCTTGAGTGACTGAAGAAATAAATATTTAGGGCTTTTAAAAGAGAAAAAGTAGTAGAATTGTATAGGTACCTATAACAAGGAAATAAATTGATTTGGTATTTTTAAGAATTCGCATAAAGAAAAACTCAAGACCAGACGGCTTCACTGATTAATTCTATCAAACATTTAAAGAAGTACTAATACCAATCTTCCACAAATTCTTCCAAAAAATACAAGGAGAAAACATTTTCAACTTGAATTCAATGGGGACAAATGTTACCAATATGACAAAGCCAGACAAAGACATCATAAGAAAAGTAGGGACTAATATCCCTTATGAATACAGATGCAAAAATTCACACAATATACTAGCAAATGGAATCCAGCAACATATAAAAAGAATTATTCACCATGTCAAGGTGGGACTTATCTCAGGAATGCAAGGTTGGTTTACCATCTGAAACGTTATCAATGTAAAATATCAGGTTAACAGAATAAAGGAAAAAACTTACACGACCACTTCAACAGATGCAGAAAAAGCATTTGATAAAATCCAGTACTTTTTCAACAATAACACTCAATAGAAACAGAAGGTAACATTCTCAACCTGATAACAGGCATCTATGTGAAACAAAGAGTTAACATTATGATTAATGATAAAAGACTGGATGTTTCCCCACTGATATCAGGAACAAGATAGAGATTTCTGTTTTGCCATTTCTATTCTACATTGTACTGGAGGTTCTAATAAGGGATATTAGGGGAAAAAAAGAGATAAAGATATCCATATTGGAAAGAAGGAGGTAAAACTACCTCTATTCACAGATGACATAATCTTATATACTGAGAAGTCTAAGGAATCCACACATAAGAATTAGAATATACCAACTCAGCAAGTTTACAGTATACAAGATCAAGATACAAAAACCCACTGCATGTCTTTATGCTAGCAATGAACAATCCAAAAATAAATTAAGAAAAAAGTTCTATTTATGACATCATAAAAAAGTAATTAGTAATTATGACATCATAAAAAAAGTAATTAGAACTAAATTTAACAAAACAAAGTATAAGATTTGTATACAGAAAACAGCAAAACACTGTAGAAAGAAATTTTAAAAGACTCAAATGTATAGAAAGATATCTTATGCCCTTGGATCAGAGACTTAATATTGGTAGGATAAAAATACTCTTCCCAATTGATCTACAGATTTAATGCAATCTCTATCAAAATTCCAACTGGTTTTCTTGCAGAAATTGGCAGACTGATCTAAAAATTTACATGGAAATACAAGAGACCCAGAGTAGCCAAAGTTAGAAAATTCAGCTAGGCTCAGTGGTTCATAACTCGAATCCCAGCATTTGGGAAGTCAAGGTGAGAGAATTGCTTGAGCCCAGGAATTTGAGACCAGCCAAGATAACATAGTGAGACCTCATGTCTACCAAAAAAAAAAAAAAATTAGCTGGGCGTGGTGGCACATGCCTGTAGTCATCCAGTCAGGAGGCTGAGGCAGAAGGGCTGCCTAAGGCTGTCGGAAGCCATGATCATGCCATTGCACTCCAG